TTTGTCTCTTTTCTACTAACTCATTCCCATATGTTTGCAACAGACTTTTAACATAATTGCATAACTTTTTGATATAACTATATACTTCCAAGTTTCTACCTATACTAATTATAACATAAGCACTCTATAAAATTAAACTGCATATAAAAGCATGCTTTCATCCTTAGTTCATCATAAATATATGCTTTCTAAAATTGTTATCAAAATAAAAAATACTAATAAATGCCTAATAAACCATGGATATCTGAATTCTGTCAAGTTCATATAACTCTCTTATGTCAACTATTAAATTAAACTTGCATAAGCTCTCCTATATGATGGTTACAGTATGTTAATTAGTTTTTTAGATCAATCTTAACTGATTCTTAAATCATATGAAAACATAATATAGGATTTAAATCCTGAATTGGTATATAATACAAAATTAACTTAATTGGATGAACTTATTCAGTAAACAATTTAGGATTTAATACAGGTTTGTTTTTATATAATTTAAAGTAGAGTTTCAATCCAGATAAATCTGTTATCCATTTATTCATATTTGATTTATTCAGGTATCTATTTACTATTAATATCCAAATAATCTGACAAATATTTAAATTATCTGAATATCAATAGTAAATAGATAGTAAACAGATATTTGAATAAATTCAAATCCAGATATCTGATAATTATTCAGATGAACACTAACCAAATTAAAACTTTAATTTAAAAACCAAGTCTATAACAGTTACTATGATCTTTAGAACCAAACAAGACTGCTTCATTATTTAACATTCAGAGCATTTAAGATATTTGCCAAATCCAAACCAAAAGAGTTTTGCATAGGCCAGGTTAGGCTGAATCTTTTAGTCTAGATCTAGTCTGATAAAAATATTTACTAATTATTTATATTAATCCAAGCCTAGATCATAATTTTATAGTATAATTTAGGTTTGGTCCATGGATCTAAATAGCATAATGGGCTTTTAGATTTGGATCTGAGCCTAATCTAATTTTGCATAAATCTAATTTTGAACTAGGCCCAATACAAAATGTCTATATTAGTATTCAAGTCAGCTTATGTATAACTAATCTATAGATGCTTTATGCTTATACAAAACTCTTATACTTATTAATCAGATCTTCAGAAGTTAAGTTTTAAGCTTGTTTTTCTTCTAGTAACATGTATATAGAAATGTTAAATCCAAGCTTAGCCTATACCTGATATGTAACTAATTCATGGATGCTTTATGCCAATGCAGAACCCTTGTACTTATTAATTAGATCTCAAAGGGTCAAGTTTCAAGCCTGATTTTTTTTTAGCAATATGTATATCAGAAATGCTAAATCTGAACTTTTAATAATTTAGTATTGTACTATCACAATATAAAGAATAAATATAATAATATATAGAACTGATAAAACCAAGTTAAACCTTGAATACATTTATGATAATTTTTAAACTTAGTTTTTAACCAGTTCTAAACAGATCTACTAAACAAGAACTAAACAAGAATTTACAAATCAAAATTTTTTATTGAACTTTTCATTTGAATACATCACATATATATACAAAAAGTTATGCATATAAGATAATAAGATCTGATAAAGACAACTTAACAGTAATCCTATTTTTAAATATAAATTAACAAAAATGAATTCATCACTTTCATATTGCATAATTAATACTGTAACTTCTAAACTTCACTTATTTTGTAACAATTAAAAATAAATAAAAAGTTCTGAATAAATAGAAGCTAAAATAATAAATAATGCATCAAATTTCATAATAAAGTAGAAGAATAACATAAATATTTTGTATTGTTATCTCCCAATTATAGAATATTAATGCCTTCTCTAAAAAATAAGCATTTCTCATATTAATATGTTAATTGTGCTGTAATTAAAAAAAAATAATTGCAAAAATAGCATCTGATTAAAAATATTACAATTTTTGCAATAGTTTTTTGAATTATTGCATGCCTATAACCTTATCGAGAATCTTCTAATTGTATAAATTTACTCTAAATAAATAATACAAATAAAAAATTTGTAATTCACTTTAGAATTCAATTTTGATAATATTATTTAGCTTACAATAAATAATAATATAAAAAATAAATTCTATAAAGAGAAACTAACCTAATCATAAAATTAAAATTACAGACTTTACTTTGCATCACAAAATAAAAATGTTAAAAGATTAAGATAATAAAAATTACAGATATTTATTTTTTAATAGCACAAATGCACATATTCTTGTTTTCAACTTTCAAAATTAATTAAATAACAGATTTAAAAAATCTTACTAATTGTATGATAAAGTATTTAGTGACAGATATGGACTTTACCTATACAGATGAATGCTAAATATAATGTTAATATAAATACTTCATATAATAGCAATAAAATAAATAACTATACTAAAAATCAATTTCAAATTTTGAAGATGCCTTTTGTGAATATTTATATATCAAAGGAAAATAAAACATTATATAGATAATATATATATCCAATTCCATATGAAATGTTGCTTCAAGAATTCTTTTATGAAATAATTAATAAAATATCATCTAACTTATCAATTAGAGTAAGTGAATTTGATCAATTGAAAAACATTGAAATAAGTAAATCAATAAACCCATCAATATATATATTACAAGCAAGTTCTAATTGCAACATTATTGAGCTTACAAACAAGCTTGAAAGAAATATTCATTAGTGCCTTAGTGCTAATAAATTACAATCTAACAATGCATATAATAATAAAAATGCATTTGATATTATTATGCAATCTGTAAACAAACAGCATTATGTTCTTACTTTTAAATATTTATTAAATCCTAACTAAAAACAACAACTATGCTTAGATATTATTAAGTGGATTTAGCAGCATGAAAGTGGTTAGTTAACACAAACCCTTGCAGATAATAATAGAAAAAATTTTGTAGTTACATTGTCAAAAGCATTTTGGTATATAAATATGTAAAATAGCACAAAACTGCAAGAATGAAGCTTTCATATATCTTAATTGTTTTTTGAATTTTTTGAACATGTAGATCCTAAGTCATATAAAGAAGCCTGGCCACTATTTGACACAAATGAGCTTAATCTTTACTGTCATTCACTTATTTCTTACCTTATTAGCATGAATGTAATTTTTCAATTTTAGCTAGTTATATAGTGCATTTAATGATCTAATAATTACTATTTCTAATTATGTAAAATATTTGCATAACAAACAAGAAGTAACTGCATTAAATTATAAAAGTGAAATTTTTGTTCAAAATATTAAACAAGCAACATCAGTAAATATTTACAAAGATAATACATGGATGGATTTTTGTAACAAAGCAAAGTATAGAAAACTTGAGAATATTTTACAAAATTTCCCTTCATGGATGCTTGTCAACCTTGAAGAACATTTACCAAAAGATCTGATGCAAGTATACTATTTTAATATTGTTGAATACTATATACAGAATCTAAGATTATTCAAAATCCCTAATTTTTAAATGAATAATATCTATGAGTATAATAATAATTAAATCAGATACTATATTTATGTTTTATAAAATTAATAAATTAGTTCAATGTACTGTTTCTGCATATTATTTAAATGCTAAAATAGTACTTGGGCCTAAATTAAGAGAGCATTATTTTAATATATGCATTAACAAATTTTACTTACTTGTTTTTAAGCAATGGCTATGTTTTATTCAAGGTCTTTTGAATGCATTTACATTTAAAACTGATAAATACTGCTATAACTCTGAAAATAATGCATATAATGTTACATTTATTTGGAAAATTAAAGAAAATGCTATTGAATCAAAAATAGTACAAGAAACATCCCAAATTACAGAAGAGTTACAAAATGATACATCTAAATATTATTCACATAAAATGAAAACTAATTACATATGCATCTGTGATTTACTATTACTTAAAATCAAACTAGCACTATTAAAAACTCTTTATTATATGTTAATCAGTGATATGTTAGTCACCAAATCTACCAACTTAAAAAAAATAGATGACTATATAAAACTTGCCTTGGAAATTGGAGACCTCAATATTATGATTAACCTTCGAAAACATAATAAAAAAAGACCAGAGAAGTATGATAAATTTTGGGAAGTGGCAGCTTGTTTTTTTTTAGATAAAGCTACTGACTTAGTAACTGCTGTTGATAAATAATGCTATGACCCAATTATACATCTTGCAGTTGCAATTTCAGTAGATAATCTTCTCTAGCAAATCAAACATAAATATCTATTTGATATATTAGTTCCTAGTGCTTAATAGCTCAGATTACAATTCTGATCAAAAAATCTAATATATTTGAATAGCATGCAATATACAAATAGGGTTATGAAATTATAGTAATTCTGCATAGTTTTTGTGTTAAGTTTCAGTAACTAGTTTTTTTATGTAATTTATAAGAAACATGATCATATAATCATATAATTCAATGTAATTGGCTAGATATATACATTGATTTGATCAGTAAACTTTATACCAAGTCTAATATAGTTCAATAATGCTAGCTAAGTTTTTTATAATCACAAGTAAAATTAAGTTCAATAAGAACAAATTTTGGTTCCAAAGGATATCAATATAGCTATTAATAGTCATCAATTAGGATAATTATACATATAGATATACATGCTGACAAAACTAAAAATTTTAAAATCTTATCCAAATCCTAAATCCCAAATATAATAAAATTGTTTCAAATCCCAAATTCCAAAGCTCAAATTCCATCTCAAATATAATAAAATTTATTTAAAATATAATAAAATCATCCAAAATTTTAATTTTAAAGCCCAAATCTCATTCCAAATATAATAAAATTCATCCCAAATATAATAAAATTATTCAAAATCCCAAATTCCAAAGCTCAAATTTTATCCCAAATATAATAAAATTTGTTTCAAATTCTAATAGTTTGCCAACAAGTATACATATAGGATATATTATTCTATTAATACTTATTGGTATAATTATCTCAATTAATGACTACTAGTACTTTATTGACCTTCTTCAAAGCCAAAATTTGGTAATAATAAGAATATCTACTAGAACTTATTGCATCCCTATTGAACTTCATTTTACTTATATGAAATTTACATAAAATTCAAGTTGCTGAAACTTATGTAAAATTACATGTATTGTAAGTTTGTAATTTTTGTAATACAACCTATATGCAGATCACTTACCTTTCAAGTTTATGGTACAATCACGACAACTATGTGCTGATCATCCTAATGTTTATTACACATCTGCTTTATTTCGATATAAAAAAGAGTTTTCTGTTAAATTTCATAATATCACAATGCTTGCTTTTTTAGATAATAAGCACTGATGCAAGATTGGAGAACCTGAATATTCTGTAGCAGCAGTAAAGAGAGAAAAGCAAGTAATTGTTAATAAAATATGACATTTGCAATAAGTGATCATAATTTTACTAAGGTGGGAATAGTGTCAATATAACAATGCTTTGTAGCATTCCTGAAATAATAGATAGTGATTTTTATGCTAAAGAAGTAAACATTGGATTAAAAGATCTAATCTTTCAACTATTCTCTCACTTACATCATATGACAGAGCTTCATAATATCCTATTAACACAAAAAAAAATTAACTCCATCTAATGTTTTTATACAAATGATAGTCCTGACCACCGATGTATATATAGAGACACCTATAACAAAAGAGAGAGATAGGACTATATATTATATAGTCTCATTTCTTTCTTTTGCTATGAGTGTTTCCATATATGCAAGTTCAGCTGTCTTATATTTGTTTGTTTTTAGCATTTGATCTTGATTACTTCATAACTGTAAAAACTCTACTCTTACATTTCTGGAAAAACTCCATTGAATATGTAATATTAACACTTAATCTTGAGTTACAATCTATTAGGCTAATGCATACCAGATGGATGAAAAATATGAAAAACTAATTAAAAAAGCTAATTCAATGAAAGAAATTAGAGAGATTGCTGAATCAAATTCTATCTTAAATGATAAACTCATAAAGAGTATTCAAAAACCAATTAATTTTGTCTGTAAAGTGTTTGAATAACAATCTTAAAAAATGTGTTATTTAAAATGTTTGATCTGCAACAGATGAAGATATCAAAAAGTTCTGGGAAAATATCTGTTTAGTTGATGATACTATAACATAAATGATTATGAAATAAAAAATCTCAACCAAAAGGTAAGAACATATAAATATATATGTTAAACAAAAGTTATAAATCAATAATACAATAATACTATCCTTCATCAAAGCCATGTTTGAAAGAATTTTTTGACCACTGCTGCACTGTGAGACATTATTTTTTTATAATAAAAAAATATAATAAAAATACTTGTATGATTTGCCTATCTCTTCAATGTTTGTGCAAGATCTTTACCCAACTTCATCATCTTTCCAATCTAATCTCTGATGAAGACTTATACTATAAGCTTTTTGAAGACCTTTATAGTACAATTACTACAAAGAAATATAGACCTTTACATTGAGAACAAACACCTATTACTAAATCTAATCAAAAAAAAAAAAGAAAAAAAGCAAAAGTAGATCATTCAGTGCCTTTTTGCCCTTCTTTAATATTTGCTAAAAATGTTGATATTACTGTTACTTACTTTGAATATGACAAATTATGACTTCTATTTAGCACAAAAAAATTAACAGAAAAAGACTATCAAATATTTGTTTAATTTCTAGATACTATTCTGTATATATGTGGAACTACATTCAACAACATTTGCAAATTATCTACCACTATACCAGCTAGGTTAAATTGCGAGATAGATGAATCTTTTGATAAACTTAACAATGATAGTGAGAAAAATCCAATTGTTAGTTCTAGCTATTCTTACCAAGAACCTGAAAATAACAAAAATAGTGATAGCAGACAAAGTGAACAAAGTAATCAAGAAATTAATGAAATGGACTCTAAAGAACCTCAGAACAATAATGCAAAAGATCCAATCTGAGAAATCTTCATACATGTCTTTGTTAATAACTCCTGAATATCAAACAGCACTATTACAATTCACCTCGACAACCAAACAGCAATTAAAAACTTGCAACACATTTCCTCTTTAAAAC